GTCAGCTCTTTAGAGGTGGTCATTTTTATTGTAAATGTTAAGGAAGTCAATCTTGCTGCATCTTCCTCTTGCCCTTATTAGATATATTAGAACTTGTTAGACTAACACCTTATTAGGTTGTGTTGTAGATGGAGTTTCTGAGCCTATATGTGTTACCCTCATACTGGTACTAACGTGAAACCTCCATTTATTGCGACAGGCATAATTCTTTAACTTATTAACAGTTCACATTTGTATAGTTATTTTAACTTTTTATTCTGCTTTTTTCCCCCAACAGTCCTGTGAGGTAGATAATGGAAGTAGTATCTTTCTATTTCAATAGCTGACTAATCAGATTATCTGAGAAGTTAAGTGGCTCATTGTCTTAGGCAGAATTTGTATCCAGATTTCTTGATTCTCCGAGTGCAGCATTCATTCCATTATGCCATGATGCAAGAGGAAACCTGTGTGACTATAGTGGCTATGCCAAGGGATGTGAACTAAAATGGTTGACACCTTAAAAATTTTAAATACTAGACACATTTTTATAAATCTAGCTTTTCTGTATGTATGTCAGGACACCATCCAGCAACTGAGACAAGGATAGATGAGGCCCCGGCTGCCTTGTGTAAAGTAAACAGATGCATTTGTTGCAATTTATTCCAAGTCAACTATTTGGCACTATCTTCCATCTATAGAACCACATAACAAAGTCCCAAGGGCTTAGAGCTTTTGCCAATGTTCAGAAATACTACAATTTGGAAAATGGAAACACCATGTCATAGTGACACTAGGGAGAAAGAACCTTTAGGGTTACAAATATATACTATTTCCAGAATTTTAGATGCAAACATTTTATTTGGGGTATATCCCCATTTTTTCAGCAGATTGGTCTTCCCCCCTGAAAACCCATCTTCATTGAAGAATTTGTATCTTTGCCAAACTATATCCCAAGCTATTTGGGATTTGTTAAACTGTTTTATGTTTTGGTTTTGTTTAGAAGCTGAAGAGTTTGAAGTTGCCATGGATGTATAGGGGTTTTGAATATAAAATAAAGCCTTTGATCTAAATAGCTCTTGTGATGCAGAGAAAAAATACTAAGTCAGTATTTGATGAAGCTCAGTTGAAGTTCACTATTTTTGTTTGTTTGCATTTCTTCCTATGTTGGTGTTCATCATGATTTTTCTTGTGTGTGTGAAAGTAACTTTCTTTTCAGTACATGGCACTGGTTTCTTTACTGATTCCTTCAGGCTTATTGCAATTCAGTGCTATCACACTGAAGCAATCTCAGAGACATTAGTGATCACCAGCATGGTCCAAAGTAAGAAAAGAAAGAAACTTCATTTTAAAATTCAATTTCTTGTGCCTTGGCAAACATGGTGGGAAAATTCAGCAGTTAAAATTTGTTTAAATAGGCCTTCCACCTTAAATTATTTCCAGTAGTGGATAGAATGCTGGCCTTAGAGTCAGCAGGACCAGAGTTCAAATTCTGCCTTAGACATTTCCTAACAGTGTGACCATTGGGATATCACCTAACCTATCTGACCCTTGATTTGCTGGGTTTGACTCATTCTCTCTACTTGGGCCTCGTAGTCCCAATTCTGTTCACGTGAAAGCCAATATAGCTACTTTTTCTGTTTTGTTATAAAAGTAGATAGCAGATAGCTTTGATGATCATCCAGGTATAATGAAGCTCATTTCTGTTGATTGCAGATGCCTGAACTTGTGCCTTGCCCTTGTTTCTGGCCTAGAAGCTCCTGAAAAAAAACTTCTGTGCATTGAAAAGTGCAGCTACTTAAAATATGTAGATTAGAAAGATACCGTCTACTGTAAACCCCAAATGATGTGCTTTTAATTCAGTTTTAAATGTAAATTGAATACAGTGATTCTCTCTGACCTCCATCTTTACATCATTGCATTCATCATTGCTTATAATTTCTTAAAACACAATAATATTATTGTATCACAGTCACGTATTTGTTTAGCCGTTCCCTAGTCAATGGGCAAATGGTAGTGGAGGAACCTGTGGGAATAGACTACTATGTCAAAGAGAAATTTGTAAGAAGTATTAAAAAATAGAAAAGGGCCAAGTAAGCAAAAATTTATCACAGGGATAAAATATTGATTTAAAGGAAATAGACCAAAAAGCAAAAATGGAGGATGTGATAAGCCTAACAATCATAACTCTAAATGTGACTTGATTAAATAATGCAATAAAACAAATAAAAAACATAATGGGTAAGAAAGCAAAACCATCCAATTTGTTATATATGAGAAAGACACCTGGTGCAAATGCTGGAACAAAATTTACTACATACCAAGTGATTATTCAAAAAGCTGGAATTCCATTCATGTTGTAAGACAAAACAAAAAATATAAAATCACATTATCAGGACTATGAGTTAAATCAAACTCTGTATCCAGGACAAGTCTGGGTGCCATCTGCCCCTTGTAACTTGCACATACTCTCATTCTCTTGCATCAGAAAACAATTCACAGGGATTCAGTACTCATTTTCTCAGGGAAGTTGACTGCCTAGTGCATAAACTGTTTCCATATCAAACCAATTTTATAATATTCTTCTGTTTTATGCTTATACCTCCTTGCTTATTTTAATGCTAAACAGGGTGATTATATTATGCATAAAATCATAAACATTGTGCCAATACTAATGTTAAACTGACAATGCATCTAAATTCATGTGAATTCATAATTCATATATAGGGAATAGCAAAACCCATTTGCTAGACCACTGTGTGTGTGTGTGTGTGGGTGGGTGGGTGGGTGGGTGGGTGGGTGTGTGTGTGAAAAGGTAGGTTGGAGACTGGTTCTGAAGAGCTTTAAATGCCAAATGAAAGAATTTGTATTTGAGCCTACGGTAATAGAGAGGCGCTATAGTATATGCAGTTGGTGGTATGACTTGGAGATAGGAGACAGATCATTTCTGGATACAGAATCAAAAGTAAGCCCATATGGCTGAATTGTAAAGGAGAAATTTGTAAGAAGTATTAAAAAGTAGAAAAGGGCCAGGTTTTGAAAAACAATGGTATTTGAGCTTATGGATCAAATAAGGACTCACTAGAGATTATTGAGGGAGTGGAGGAAAGACATGAGCAGACTTGTGCATTGGAAAATCATTTTGGCAGTTCTGTACTGGATGGATTAGAGTGGGGAGTCACCTGGTATGGGAAGACTGAATGGGAGACTGTTGCAACTAGGAGAGAGATAGTGGGAGCATAGAGGAGGGCACACATGTGGAAGATGTTGTAAAGAAAGAAATGACAAAATTTGGAAACTATCTAGATATGTGAGCTGTGCATGAGAGAGAGGCGTTATGAAAGACAACACCATGATTTCTAATTGAAAATGATGCTCTCACCAAAAAAGAAAAAAGGCATTGATTCTCTCACCATTGATAGAGAAGTTCAGATCAGTGGTAGATTTGGGAGGAAAGATGAATGCATTTTATAAGCAGCCTGTTGGAATAAAGAAAATGTTTAACTTGAAAGTCATTTGAACTTAGAAGTTCAAATTCCTCTCCATTGTTACCTATGTGACCTTCAAAAGTCACAGTCTTTTCTTCTAATTTGTAGGAGCTAGGCTTGATCAGTTTTGACATCCGTTATAGCTCTAGGCCTATAGATCTGTGATCTTATGCCTACATACAGAATTTGCAATTCAGCATATTGATGGTTTAGGACAGAGGCTCAGGAGAGAAACCAGAGGTGGTTATAGAGAGTCATCTGCATTGAGGCGCTACTAATTGAACCCATGAATATCTGATGAAGTCAATTAGTGAGACTTCTGATTCTGTAAGAGTTACTTTAACAAAGCTCAGAACCCTATGAACCTTTTCCTATCTCTTCCTGTCTTCACCCTTCTCCCTCCCTCTATCCTCTCTTATCCCTTACAACTGTGTGTGAATATCCCTGTCCCTTTATTGAATCACGTAATGTTTTGTGTTCTTAATTTTGAAAGCTGGTGATTGAATTTTTAATTCAGTCTTCTGTACAAAAGAAAAAGAGAACTAATTGACTTTTATTTATGTTTTGGCCCTCATTTTCATGTTATTCTGTTGGTTAGTGGCCCGAGAAGAAATAATACTTCTTAGCTTAGGGCATAATGCACAAGTTGTGTATTAAGAAATGTTTTTAATGATTACTGATGGAAGCTTTTGGCAGTAGCTAGTAAGTCACTTTTAGTTCTCATTTCTGTGATTTTATGAACATTAGTAAGATATAATTTGAGTTCATATTTTTTGGCTATTCCCATACATAACTTCCATTTTCTTTTCTATGAGTCCCTTATATTCATTCAGTCTCTCCTTCCCTCAACACTCACACTAAACCTTTTTTTACTCTCATTCTAAATAAATTTTATTCATATCTTTTGTTTCTACATTTCTTAAGAGGAACTCAAGCTGCCCACATTGTTTCACACACACACGGACACAGAGATACAGACACATATGCACACACAGACACTCACACATGTTTAATATCTTGGTGCTTCTCTCCAGGGACTCTACAATATGTGACTGCAAATTCTCTTCTCCTTCTCTTTATATTGAAATACTTACCACTTTGACACTTAGCCAGTCAAAAGTTTGATATGAACCTCAGACTAGCTGGATAATTTTGTGGAAAAGGAGGAAAAAGATGGGAGGAAATTGGAAGCAGAAGTGCAGACATGTTACTTGACTGATGTGGAAGGCATTCTTGAAAAAAAAAAGCTTTTTTCACACTTGTGCAGTTTTCACTAAAAGCATAAACTGTCTTTCCCGTTGTCAATTGACCCAACAGCTGAGACAGGATTTGAACTGGGTATATAATTGGTATTTAATATATGCTTGTTGTTTATTTCAACCCAGGTTTTCCCGACTCTACAATCATTTTTCCATGGTGTTACATCTGAATAGTTAATTGCAAAACCCCTAATTCTTTATGTTTTCCACCATACTATTGCATTCTCCAAGCTTAATATTCAGGTGTTATGATTTTGTTTTCTTTTCTCTTCTACAGGTTTTGCATGCAGAAGTGTGTCAGTCTGGTGCCTGGAGTCACACTGGATTTGATAGAGAAGTAAGCAAGATTTTAATATACTCAAATGATTTTCAAGACAAGTGGGAAGTTATTTCCTATTGTTTCATATTTGATTTGTAGGAATTTTTTTTCTGCTGATGTGGGGTTGTTTCTCCTTCATCTGCCTGTGCTCTCCTGTTCTTTTTACTATTATTAAGGCCAATTTTTGTGAAGTGCCAATGATTACTGTCAGAATAATTTAGGGTGAAGAGAAGGGATTGGACCTAGGCCTATGGTTTCATTAATATACCGAACTTTCAGATAAGGGAACTCTACTTACCAGTCCAAGTCAGCAGATTATCTGCCACTTATATCCTTAGGTAGTTAGCTGGAGCCCTCACAAATTCATTGCATTGCCCCATGTCACATAGCTAGCCTATGTCAGAGAAACTTAACTCAAATTTTCCTGGCTCTGAGACGAGCCCTCCGTCCACTGCAGAACACAACCTCTGAATCCTATTTAGCTTTTTTCAAACTAAAAATTTCAATCCTTAAAAATTAAGGCAGTGGAAAAACATATTTCTGTCTCTTTTTTCTAATGTGAAGAGTTCTGTACTGTTAGACATTTTCTGCTTTCTTTGACGTGAAAATAACAATGTGAGAGTTTGTGAAAGAGAAATAATATGAAATAATTATGGATAAAAAGCTGTGTTGAGAATTTATAGGAAAATGGAAAGAATAGAAGCAGGAAAATAACTGGTAAAGAGTAATTAATAGCTCATGACTGTAATCTAGACAAGAGTGTAAGAGGTCCTGAATTAGGATCATTGACTAGGTGAGTAGAGAGAAGATGAATGTTACATATTCTAGGGGTAGAATTTAATATGAGCTAGGAGAAAGACTCTAAAGTCATATACTGAACTTATATAACTGTATGAATCAGAGAATGGTGGTACTTTCAACAAAAATAATGCAGTTTGGAGTAAGAGCAGGCTATGGGAATAAGATTATTAGCCCAAACTGAGATACATTCAATTATAGATACCTACTGTAGTAGATGATGTTCACCCAACAGTTTGACAATGTGGGACTGGAATTCAGGACAAATATTATGGCTGGATCTATTGATTTGAGAATCACTAGTGGAGGTACAGTACTTGAAGCAGTAGTAATACACTGAAATCGGCAAGGGTGACTGTATATAGAGAGAAGAATATAATTTTATCATTATCATCATCATCATCTGAGCAACCAGCTGCCTCTGTAAAATGAAGATAATAATTGCACCTACCTCACATAGTTGTTGTGAGGATCAAATGATATAGTATTTGTTAGCAATAGCTAAGTAGGTCAGTGAATGGGGCTCTAGGCCTAGAGTCAGGAAAACTTGAGTTAAAATCCTACCTCAGACACTTATCAGCTGTGTGACTCTGGGCAGGACACTTAACTTCAGTTTATCTCAGTCTCTTCAACTGTAAAACGAGGATAATAGCACCTACCTGAAAGAATCGTTGTGAAGATTAAATGAGATAATATTTGTAAAGTGCTTAGCACAGTGCCTGGCACATAGTAAGTGCTATATAAGTGCTTTTTCCCTCCCCTCCAAACTGCTTAAGAGAAAGAATTGAGTTGAGCCCTGTAATCTTTCTGAGCCTCAGAGGCTTTTTGTGCAGAAAGTCTAAAGTGTTTTTCATCAATTCACTTTATTTGAAAATTTTTTTCAAAAATTATCAGGTGGCTATTTTGGACTAGGTAGTTGAGATATGAAGGTAGAAAATTCCCTTCCCTCAAAGAGCTTAAACGTAATACAACATTTACAGAGAAGGATGACCCAATGGATAATGGTACAAGGTATGCCCCTACTGATTTCTTCTCCATTCACCTTCTTGACAATCATAGTTATCAGAGTTAGGATCAGAAACATTAAAGCTGGAAGGAATAAATGATGTTCTCTAGATCATCCCCCACCTTTTACAGATTAGAGAAATAAGGCCTGGAGGTTAAATGATTTGGCTTGAATCACACAGTTAGGAAGTAACAGTGGATATGAAGCCAGTTATTGAAGTTTAAATCCCAAGTAAGGGCAAAGCATAATCTGATACGGAATGTCACGAAGACATGTGGGATGGGAAATAACACTTTCCGTGGGGTGGAATCAGAGAAAGCTTCCTGCTGGAAATTCTACTAGATTTGATCATTAAAGGAAAGGAATGATTTCAATAGGGCAGAAGTATGGTGGTATCAGACCTGGCACAGACAGGAGATGGGCATGATGAGTTCATGGAATAGGTTCTCTGGTTCAGACTCCTTTGCCTATCATTCAAGGCCCAAGTCAAAAGATACCATTTTCATGAAGCATTTTCTGACCCCTTCCTTTTGTCCTCCAATCTAGTCAATTTAGATCTCTTCTCTCTTAAACCTTTTATGATCACCTTATTTTCCTTAAATTCACCAAATATTTATCATTTTGTATTATTCCATCTATTTGTTTATCATCACCTCTCCCCTCCAACCACATCCTTTCCAAGTTGAATAGAATGAGCATTTATGTAACCTAATTCTGGTTATGTTATATTGAAGTGCTTTCCCCCTCATCCATATTTGTATACTAGATCTTGCCACAAGCAAAAGAGTTCATTAGAGAATTTAATTCAGCTTTGTTGTTTTTGGCCATTACATCTACCCATACAACTTGATTAGTAGTGCCAGGATCAGGTCATATGCCATATTACTCCCCTCCTTAAGAGGCTAAATTCAACCTACCCCCCTTTAATGCCTGCAGATAATGTGAGGATAGTTAGTGCCTTAGTTCCCCCTTCTGTTCCTTTGCTCTTCTCATCCATCCTGTCCTTTTCTGCTTAATTTTTTACACCACTACCTCCTCTTCTCCATCTTTTCTTTTTCTCTTCCTCTCCGTATCTCCATTGGTAGTGTCACAATGTACCAGAGGCTTTCCAGCCTTCTTACACCTTACTCTCCTCCACATACTCTGCCTTCCAGTGGCTGACACTGGCCTCCTTCCTATTCAGTGTTCTGTCTCTCAATTCTGCATTTTCACTTGCTCTAATTCCCTCCTTCTTCCTCTTAGCTTCTGTCAAGTCCCAACTAAAATCCCACTTTCTATAAGAATCCTTTTCCAATCATCCTTAAGGCTAGTGTCTTCATTCTACTATTTATCTCCAATGTATCTAGATTTTTCTAGTTTGTACATAGCTTTTTGCATGTTGTCTCCCCCGTTAGACTGTGAGTTCCTTGAGAGCAGGGACTATCTTTTGCCTTACTTTGGATCCACAGCACTTAGCACAGTGACTATGACATAGGAGTACTTACTAGTGAGACTCAAGGAGATAGAAGGATTCATGGGAATGATTACAAGGAGGTCATGATTAGAGTTAGTCCTGGGAATTAAAAAAGTCAAAATGAGTGTGATTGGTTTTCATAGGCTACTTAGAGTTTGTCAGGTTTAATGCAAATCTCAGTTAGATTTTTAAAATTACTTCCTTGGAGACATTCTACTCCAGTTTCCATTAGGTTTGAGTTGGTGCCTGCTATTGGCCACATTGACAACCATCTGGTTAACTCATATTAAGTAACAGGTTCCAGAAATACCACAAAAACAATCCTGACGATTGCTTATTTATAAAACTACCAAAACTATGTAAAAATTAGCTACATTTGTTCATTTTTTTCATTCATGAAATATTGAGCAGGTCACTGTGCTAGAGGATGAATATAACTTAATCAATGAAAATTAGGAAAAAAAATTGCAAAATAATTAGAATATAATAAATGATCCTATTATCTGCTTAACCTCATCTGTTTAGATGATTTCACAGACTCATCAGGCTCTGTTCTATCAGAACTAAGTCCAAAGCTCATTCAGCTCTACTCGGCGTAGGATGATAAAAACCATAGAACGTTGAAGCTAGAGGGATCTTAGACATCATCTAGTCCAATCCGGCAATTTTCAGATGAGGAAACTGAGACACAAAGAAATGAGGTGACTTTAAAGGAAAGGTGCTATATTAAGAAAAGTTTTAAAGATACTCGAAGCTGAGGAAACATCTTCATATTTGTAGTCTGCACTTTTAGAGTGATATAAGAATGCTAGGAATGCTGTCTTCGTTATGCATTGATTTGTATAGTAAATGCTCCTTTATTTTCTACTGTGTTAAGATTAGTTACTTGGGATATTTTTCATACCACTAAACTTCCATTTAGATCTTTTCAGACAGTCTATTGTTCAGTATTCGTAAAGTATGAAGTCTTTAAAAGGCATCTGGGTTAGGAACATGGATGGCTTTTAAAAATACTATTCTGTCCTCACATTTCATCACCTAACAAACAAGCACTTCCCCTAAAGGCCCAGTAAGAATATTTGATACTGTCCTGTATGTTTTCAAAGACTTTTTGTTTTGTACTTAAAGACTTCAGGGTAAGAAAGTAATGGATTTTACAAGGATTCTTCTTTTATTCAATCCAAGTAATGCCACTGTCTTCTAGAACACAGTGTACCCAAGTCAGAGTAAGTCATTTAAAAAGAGTATTCAGATTTCAGGGATTGCCACCTTTTAGAAATGCTTGTTGTCAGAATTAATCGGGGAAGATTCTAGGTTCTGGACTTCTGAACAATATCTAGAACTAATTTCTAGGCAGTGAAATGAGGATGGGAAGTTTATTTGGTGAATATTTGAAAGATGGTAAAGATTTAAGATGCATTATTTTAAATTAAAGTAGACCAAGATGGTTGGTTACTGAAATGTTTCTCCAAGTGCTTTGGCAAAACCACTATCTATTTCTTTAGTCAACCAAGTTAGAATATATACTATGCTTCCAAATTTATTGATGCTGCTTTATGATATGGTTTTAATCTAATTTGGTGTTCCCTTTATTCTTTTTTTTTCATGATTTCCCTTGACATTCTAAATATTTGTTCCTCCAAATGAATGTAATATCTATAAAGTATTCATCTGATAGTTTGATTGGTAGTACATTAACTCTGTAAATTAACTTTGGTAACAATCATTTTTGTTATATAGTCACAGCCTCAGTCTTGAGCA